GGGGGTCTTTGCTGTAAAGGAGCCGTTCTCAACCTGTGGGTCGTGACCCCTTTGGGGGGGTCGAATGACCCTTTCACAGGGGTCGCCCGGTTCATCCCAGTAGCAAAATGACAGTGATGAAGTAGCAACGGAAATAACTTTTTGGCTGGGGGGCCCCCACCACATGAGGCACTGTCTGAAAGGGCCGCCGCGTGAGGAAGGTGGAGAACCGCTGCTGTAAAGGATGACATGGTGTGTCTGACTCAGCTTTCATCTGGAGCCCTCCCTACCTCTCATTCCCTCTGCGTCATGGGAAATTAACTTTCTTTTTCTTTTTCCGTTTTTCATTACACTTAAAGTTCATACCCTCCAAAGCTCTGTGACTCTAGATTTTAACCTGACTTTAAAAACTATATAAAGCATAACTGTTCCAAGCTACTGTTTCAGGTTTTTATTACTGTTTCAGATTTTTCTAATGGCTTGGGAGGACGGGTGGGATTGCAACCGGGAGGTTGGAGCGGGGCACCTATTGAAAGGACCCGAGCTCGGGCCCAACGTGGAAGGCGGCACACTCTTCTCTGATGCCCGGGCAGCCGTGTCCTTTTCTCTTCCACTCTTCCCAGGAACTTCGGCAAGGACGACCAGAGGCACAGTCCGCAGGTGGGCCCAGCACACTGTGTGCAGAAAACTGTAGTCTAGAGCAACTCCAGAGAGACCACGCTGCGTTTTCATTTCTTCTTTCTGTCCACAGAGAGCCAATGGAACGGCTAACTCCATCCACATTCAAACACCACTTTGATCCCCAACGTTTTCCAAAAGCCACCTGCCTGCTGGTCCGAGTGGAAGCGCCCAACTTGCTTCGTTGTCCAATATTTGAAAACAAGGTATTTGTCAATGATCATATATCAGGTGGGAGCCAAGCCAGTTGAGACTGGAGAGAGAGAGAGAGAGAGACAGAGCGAGAGAGAGTGGTTTTTCCATTGCATATTTTCCCTTTCGTAACCTTTACTTTCATCCTTGGCCCTCCATGTCCCTGCCTGCCTCTACTGTTATGGATAAAAGAAGTGTTTGGCTTATTACCCAAGACCTTGTCCAGTGGCCACCATGAGAGTCTACCAGTAGATGGTCTCCCAACGCTTGTAATTGAGCTTGGCATCCACTAGCCTTTGAGGAATGGGCTGTGCTGGCGACCACAGCAGCAGCTGTTACCGCATCAGCAGCCACTAGAGTGGGAACCGGGTCTCTGCAGGCCCCGCCCCCCACCATACCCCTGAGCAATGCCGGCCAAGTGCCTGGTCTTCTCCACCCGGTCTGGACACTGCGCAGAACCTGTTTGGAGGAGGAAGCCATTTGGGGGTTGGGGCTGGAGGCTGCTCTGTATCTGTGGCAACATACATGTCGCTGTTACTTTAGGACACGTCGATCCGTGCCAACACCCTATGGTGCCCAGGAGAACTCTATGGGACTTTCCAAAGCCGATCCCCAGGGCTGCTTTCTGAGGTGGGTTCTGATTGCCCCCCTTGGAGGCTAGTTGTCAAGGGCTTGACCATTCTTGTGTTGCCGGGGTCACTGCGAACGAGGATAGGAGCCATGGACATCAGGTGTACCTTTAAACCAGTGGTCCTCAACCTTCCTCATGCCGCGACCCTTTCATACAGTTCCTCATGTGGTGGTGACCCCAACCATAACATTATTTTCATTGCTACTTCATCACTGCCATTTTGCTATGGTTAGGAATCGTCGTGTAAATATCTGATACGCAGGATGTGTTAGGCGACCCCTGTGGAAGGGTCGTTTGACACCCCCCCCCCACAAAGGGTCACGACCCACAGGTTAAGAACCGCTGCTTTAAACTGTCTGGTTTGCAGTCTTAAAAGACAAAGAGATGAAATTCATTAGAATCATGTATTGAGTCCAATCTATTAAAATTATGATTTCTATAGCACCAATATGAGATTTTTACATGGGATAGCTTACATTCTTCTTTCTGTGGACTAAGTCTTTGGGAAGTACTGTGTATTTGCCACTAACAGCATCTCCATTCAGACAAGCCACATCCCAAGTGTTCAATACCTGCCAATGGGGTTGTTGCCACCCTATGGACAGGGTGGTGGTCCCTAGCAGACAGCCAGCAGGGAACAAGCCTGGGCCCAGGATCTAGCCCCAAGCAGGAGCCCAGAATGCTTGTTGAATGAATGAATGATGAAAGTAATGGTGAGATAACGAATGTGGGAAGGGATGAATAAAGAGAGGAGGAGGGCAAAAAGGGATGTGAGAACGAATAAGATAACCCTGGGTCTTTTGTCCTGGGCCCTCCTCCTACTCCTCCTCCTTTGCACGCATTCACTCACTCATCGCCCCAGGCACTGCTTCACAACTCCCAGAATCCCCATTGTCAACTCACCTGTCCCTCTCCATCTCTCCCAGGGGTTTATGCCTCTCGGCCATGCAGAAGTGCGCTTTCTCACTTGGTGGTCCAAGCTGCCCCCCAGAGAATATTACCAGGTCACCTGGTACATATCCTGGAGCCCTTGCTCTGAATGTGCGGTAAAGGTGGCCACGTTCCTGAAGTCACACAGCAACGTGTCTCTGAGCATCTTTGCTGCCCGCCTCCACTACCACCAGGAACTAAAGAACCGCCTTGGACTTCACAGGCTGGTGCTGGCTGGGGCCAAGATCAAAATCATGGACTTACAAGGTGAGAGGCGCCCTCTCACTGTGGACAGGGCAATGCTGGGGCAGGGCGGCAGAGGAGCTTGCTGAGAAAGTGACCGTGAAGGGATTCGGAAGAGCTGAGACAGGACCTTGTTCTTAAGGAAGGCCGAGAAGTGTCCCATTGCATGGCCTTTTAGTAGCTGACTCTCTGGGGCCTTCTCAGACCTTCACCTTGACCCTATTGGACAGAGCAGGAAACCCCCATAGGGTTTCCGAAGCTTTACAGAAGCAGACTGATTTGTATTGCGAGCCTCTAGAGCTGTGAGACAGCCCATCCCTGTTCTGGAGAGCCTCACTCTTCTGTGGAGGGGCTGGTGGATTTGAACTGCTGACCTTTGGGTTAGCAGCCACGCCTTTAACCACTGTTTCATGAGGCTTCCATGGGGATGGGCATTTGGGGCTTTTCTCAGACTTTGAAAATTGCTGGAGAAACTTTGTGAACCTCCCAACGTTCCAGCCTTGGAAGAAGCTGCAGGAGAACTGCCGTGAATGGACCATTCGGCTTCAGGGCATTTTCAGGTGAGGCGCATCCTCTGGGCCACGTTTTCCTCCTGCCCCTTCTCACCTCTTTTCTGGCCCCACTCTTCTTCCCTTTGCCCTCCCCTCTGCTTGCCCTCACCCTGACTCCCTCCCCAGCCCCCTTTGCTTCCTTCTCCTTGGGGGGGTTCCTTTGCTCCCCCTAGCTCCTGACACCCTCAGAGCTCCCCAACCCTGCCTCCTTCCGTCTTTTCATATTAACCAAGTTTTGTTAGTGAACTGGAAACAACGGGCTTCAGCGTGTCGAGCAGAGAAATCTGAAAGTTGGAAAACCCCCCTTCGAGTCAGACTGAGTCATCCAAGAGCCAGGATTCTTGGGAAGAGTGACTGCAGTGAGCAGCTTTGGGAGGGCTTGGCACCTGGGCATGCGTGTGCGGGTTCAAGCGTTGTCTCCGAGATTGTTCCTGCCCTGTCCCTGTCACTTGCCGCCCATTCCAGACCCTTCCCGCATCCTTCCCTTTGGCCGTCGCCAACACCCCGACCCTTGCTTCTGCCCCTCCTTGACCACAC